AACTCAAACCATAGTGCACAATTCACAAACTTTAGCAATTAATTAAACAAAAGGTTCCTGTAGAGTACTACAGATATTTAGGGTGCTAATACCTTCCCTAGATATAACCAACCCCCGAATCCCCGAATCTCTTAAAAGCGTTGTTGTCACATCGCGCAAAAGGTTCTTTCTTTCTTTAGACCTATCCTTTGGATAAATTAAAGACCGGTTGTAAAAGAAATAAGGTTCAAGTTAATTAATAGCTTGATATCAAATTTTCACCGCAACAGTAAACAAAAACCTAAAACAAAGTGAGGATGGGAGATCATGTGAGGACAGAAAGGAACTCACAATAGACACTCAACCATGAGCATCACAAGCAAAGTACAAAGAAACCAACAAGAAATGTTCTCAAGGATTCCATCATTTTAGGTATGCTTCAAGTACCTCCAAAGGAGAGACCAAGCCACCTTAAATGATATTCCTAGGTCATTGGACAGAAAGGGACATAAACTAAAAGCTCTCAAAAGCCAAAGCAAAACAAAGCACAAAGGAGTGCAAGTTAATTCCCAAAGGGAAGCACACATGTTTCACAAAGAAACCCTAATTGAAAGCCCAAAAGTAAACAAGCAAATGAACAAGCTAAACACAATATAATGACCTAAAAATGAACAAGCATCATCCTCAACATGTTAGCAACATGAATCAAGAGGCATTGAGGGCTCAAAGGATCCAAAAATGTCATATACAAAGCAAACTAGGTCAACATGTTTGTATGGACCTTCCTTTGAATAGCTTGACTTGCAAGCTAGCCTAAAAATAGGAAAATGATCCAAAAATTATCAAATAAAATGCAAGAAGACCATAAATGTATTGGCAAACAGAGGCCAAAATAACTCAATCAAATTCTCTTCACAACATCACCATAGAAATTGATTCACAAGGGTGCTCCATTGTGAAGGAGGATTGCATAGGGTCAAATGTAAGGCAACAAAAGTCAACTCAAAAGTCAACAAGTCAGGGGCAAAGTGGTCCTCAAAAATTCCTCAACTCATCATTGTTATGAGGATTGAATCTTATTCATTGGATCCAAGGGACATGAGAGAAATAAATTCAAGAACAAAACATGTCAAAAACTAGGTCAAATAAGACACTTCCAATGGTAAATCCCTTTTTAAAATGAAAAATAAATCATAAAATAAAATAAAAATTTCTAAAAATAAGAGGACATCTCAAGGAATCCAAAATGTATTTTTGTGGAATTTTGTGGTCATTGGAAGTATTTTTAATGACTTAATTTCTAAACAGATGCAAAAATAAAATAAAAGAAATATACAAAGAAAATAAATAAAGACTGGTGGTGAATAGCAATAAAAGGCAGTTTAAAAAGAAACCGGGCCCATCAAGGGGGTGCAAACAGAACGCTTTTAAATACTATCTTTGTCTCTTGAGATTTCTTAATTTTTTCTTTTCTCTCATTTTTGACATATCTCTTTCAAAATTTTATAAATATTAATTACTTTTTGATTTAATTTTGTCATGTGTATTGTGTTTGAGGTTCACTACGATCTCATAACCTTAAAAAAAAATTACTTTGGTTCTTCAACTTTTTAAAATGTATCGTGTTAGTGTTTTTTATTCAAATGTCAGAAATGACGCCAAGTTTTGCTGATGTAGAAAATGGCGTACAAGACATTTTGTGACTAATTTAACAATTGAAAAGTCTGCCACTAAAAATGATTTTTTTTTTTTTGTTTTGAAAAAGTATTCATCTTCTTAGTTAAAATCGATCATTATACATCAATAAACACACTCGCTAAACTTTCATTTTTTCTTGGTGAACTTGAATTAGATTTAACATTTAGATATGTCTCTAAAACTTAAATGCTCAAACCAATATTGATTTTATTGCTTGTGTTGACTAAATGACTGCAATTGTAAATACTGTTGTTCAATTTCTTATATCAAAACTCCACAAATATGCCTAATAGTATATATCAAATAGTTTTTTTTAGTTTAAGAATAAAATAAAGAAAGTATGGAGTTGTACATTGAAAGTAGAGGTGAAAATATGTCAGACTAAATTAGATTTTAGAAGACTTGAATCTGACCTACGATAAATTTTTAAGATCAAAACCTGTCATACGATAAATGTTTTGGACTGGTCTAATGGCTAGATATGGCACGATCCACTTCTACGTCCAGAACGGCCCAATAGTCTTAGTCCTGCCAATTAAGGGCAAAAGGGAGTCTTCTCTCCTCTGCCCCTTTGCCGAGGAAGGTTGGCCAGCTGACCCCCAGGATCAGCTGTCCCTCATCACATTCCTGCCAGTCACGCACGGTTCCACCATTCAAAAACAGTCACGACGCCAGTGTCCGCGACCACGCTCTTGCCCGCAGCAACGGCTAGTTCCGAGCATCTCTACCAGTCCCAATAGCTAGTTTCTGGCAGTTACATATTCTTTGGGAGTGAATATCTCGCCCCGAAAATAAAAACCAATGGCCAAGCGCTAGGGCATTATAGAAACCCTCTCACTTGAGAGGGTCAGGTTTTTAAACCATTCTAAATCACCCTAAAACATATATTCCTTGTACTTGCTTTCTCTTTTTCCAATTCTTACTTTAACATCGGAGTGTCTTGCAGGTACACCCTCTCCTCATCCTTGCAACCCAGCATCACAGACAAAGTCTCTGTTCCACTTCAGATTCTGATCAGCCGTCAAAATCAATAAATTTTTAAGATTTAAGTCTAGCCTATGACCTATTATAGGTTTTTTTTGCCTAATCTTTTTAAAAGTATGATCTAGACTAAAAGTTTATTTAAAATTTCATTTCACATTAAGGCTTTCAAATAGTAGTTTTTACCTATTTTTTAAATAGACAACACATTCTTTTATATTTAACATATTTTTTTAATAGATATGCATATATAGACCGACATATAAGATTTTATAGATTTTTTTAATAACTTAAGCTTGATTTATTTAATTAAATAAAATTTTAAAACAACCATTTAAATTTTTTTTATAAAATTCTATAGATCGTCCTGACATATTCTTATCTCTAAACATATATTTTTAGTCTATGTTTCCTTTAAATTTAGAAAATCAAAATACATATGTCTTCTAAACTTTTTATAAATAAAAAATTAGACACTTACTTTTTCTTTGTGAGTTAATAGTTTATTTCTCAATTTTCTCTAAATTTACATTAATTGATACTCCAATCCCCATAAATGTCTAGATTTTTTTATAAATAAAATACATTCCTTTTTATTATTACAAATTATAAATAAAAAAGTCTTCATTATTTCATTTGAGTATTTTATTTAAAAAATACATTTTTCTAGCAAATTAAATTTTCTTTTTTTCTTTTTTTTTAAAACATATTAAAAAAAACACAAAACATATAACTAACTTATAAATTGTTACATGGTAAGTATGATTTATTAATGGACACTCGGTCCTTGTAACTAAATTGAGTTATATTCAAGTTAAATTATAAAATATGTCAAAAAAAATTGAAACCCTAAATAAAAATTGGATAATGTTAAATTTTCAAAGGCATAAGTTAAGAATAAATGTAGAACTTTTTAAAAAATTTATTAAAAATTTATAATTATATTTTTATTGTTATTTTTAACACAAACTTTTATTTATAAGTATCTTGTGTTCTAAAAACACAAATTAGTATATTCGTTTTTATGTGTACGAGTTGAATTTTAATATTTTAAATATTAAAAAAAAAAACATACTGTATTATATTATTTAAAAGTAATTTTAAAAATTTTGCACATTTTTTAAAAGACTAAATTACAGTTTTAATTTCTCAATTTTGTCTAATTTATAAAATTAGTCCTCTTATTTTAAACTCAAACAATTTTGGTCTCTATATTTTTAATTCAGTCTCTTTTTCACATTTTTTCATAGAAAATCATTGATATATTCTTTTTTTTTTAACTTATATTTTTATCTACAAAGTTTAATAATAAATTTATATACGCTAATTTATCATATGTTATAAGTAATTCTCATTTAAAAAGTAAAATATTATTAATTATAAGTGTAAAATTATGAAAGAGAATTAAAATTGATTAAATTTATAATAAAAAATCAAAACTGTTTAAATTTAAAATAGAGAGACTCATTTTGTAAATTGAATAAAGTAGAGGATCAAAACTATAATTAAGCTTAATCAAAATAAAAAATTATTAATTTTATTGATATTAATAATAAAATAAAGAATTTAATTGATAAAACAATTTTGTGACTATTAAATTTTTACTAATATTTGACTTTTAATTTAATTATTTCTAAAATAATCTTTATAAGTGGTTGTGATATGCAGAGTATATAATAATTAATTTTTAAATTAAATATAAATATTGTAAAAAAAAATAATTTGAAAAAAATATATATTTGAGAAGTGAAATTTTTTACTAGGGTGAGAGAACAAATTACTTCATCCGTCACAAATTATAAGAAATTTAGAATATTTTATGTAATTAAAAAATATAATTAAGAAATTTAAAAAGTTTGAAAAATATAATTAAAAAATAATAATAAATAATAGAGAATATGTTAGAGAAAAAGTCATCGATAGAATTGAAATTGTAAAATAATCTCTCCATTTTTTTACAAATAATCTATAATTTGAAAGAGTAAAAAATTTGACTCATTCCATTAAAATAATTCACAATAATTGTAATGATTAGAAAATGTGAGTTCCAGCAAGATAATTAAAAATACCGATGCATTTATTAAAAACATAATTAAAATTATCTAAATCGCACAATAACTAATGGTACACGTGTTATTCTATCTATAAAGTTTCATTTTCAGCCTGCCCCGTCTTTCCTATTGGTCCGATCCTTTTTTTCCCACCTCCTATATAAATCCCTTAAGAAGTATCCATTCCTACTACTCATTCTACTTTAAAATTTATGTTCTACTTTACTTCTACTCAAAATAATAGCAGTTTAAAAAAACAAAGACAACACTCACACAGTTACACAGTCGAAAATGGGTTTCCAGAAATTTCAAGAAAAAGAACTAGAAGCTCCCATCCATGGAGACATCTTAGAAGCCATACTCTCTCACGTGCCGCTCATTTACTTGCTGCCAGCCAGTCACGTGTCAAATCATTGGAACAGTGCGGTCTCGAGTTCCCTCCGCCACGTCAACCCTGTGAAGCCGTGGCTCACGGTTCACACTCAAAACCACCGTACTCCTCACGTGATCAAATCATACGCGTACGATCCACGCTCCCTAACATGGATTGAAATTCACGCGCCACAAATCAACCATACCTCCGCTCTACGATCTTCGCATTCCACGCTCCTCTACACGCTCTCTCCTAAAGAATTCACCTCCGTAGATTCACTCCATCTCGAGTGGAACCACGCGCCACCACCACGTGTTTGGCGCGTTGACCCGGTGGTTGCTCAGGTTGGAAACTGCATCGTTGTTGCTGGTGGCGCGTGTGACTTCGAGGACGATCCTTTAGCAGTGGAAACGTACGATATAGATTCTCGCATTTGGATGCGGTGCGAGTCCATGCCTGAGATGATGAAGGACACTACAGCGTCGACATGGCTCTCTGTTGCTGTCGCCGGTGAGTTTATGTACGTGACGGAGAAAAACTCCGGCATGATGTATTCCTTCGATTGTAAAACGATGACGTGGCAAGGACCGTACAATCTTCGAAGGGAGGAGAGCGTGTTCTTCAGCGTTACGGGAACGGTGCGGGATCGTTTGGTTGTGGTGGGAATAGTAGGCGATGCGGAGAACGTGAAAGGAGTGAAAATATGGGAAGTGAAAAAGGAATTTGGGTTTGAAACGATGGAACTGTGTGCGATGCCGAAAGAGATGGTGGAGAAACTAAGAGGTGAGAGTGAGAGTGAGTTGTTGAATTCGATTGAATTGGTTTGTATTGGTGATTTTGTTTACGTTTACAATCCGTCGGAACCGGAGGAGATGGTGGTGTGTGAGGTGTTTAATGGAGGAGGATGTGAGTGGCGGAGTGTGAGGAATAAGGCGGTGAACGACGGGACACGGATCGGGAGAGTGGTGCTGTGTGGTGGCGGTGATGTGAGATTGGAGGATTTGAAGAGCGTGGTTTCTGGGAAGTGTAAATTTGAATTGGTACACGTGTAATTTTTACCCAAACAAAAAAGAAAGTTATGTGATAAATTTCTTATTATGTGTTTGGATTTTACTTTAGAAAAAGCAAAATTATAGTGGAAGACAACATTTCAATACAATAAAATGTAAAAATAGTGAAACAATCAGTTGAAGCTTTTGAGTTGATTAAGTTTTTGAACACATGCAAACATGTAATTAGTTATGTTTGCTTATTCACGCATTTTTATTATGTTGGGTGAGAACTGCTGGGAATTACAATTATGGATAAGGATTTAGTGCAGGAAGAGTTTGTTGATCTTGTCAGCAAAAATAGATCTTTTAGTTGTGGATCTTAGCTTATATAGTATTTTACACATGTCCCGTTAGGATTTAGTCTATCCCTTTAATATATCATGTGGACCCGTTTTTGTATATATATTGTTTAAATGTTACCGTTCATTATTCATCATATATTTCTCTTCTTCTTTTAATTATATTGCCAAGACAATTGGAATTGAGTACATTCTGTTACAATCTCTTCTTGAATTCACCATTATTAACATGGTATCAGAGCTTAAAAAACTCTGGTAGCCATTGTTTCTCACTGCTTTCCTTCTCCTTGAAGCATTGCAGAATTCTTCTTTTCTGATTCTATTCGAGTTCTCTGCAAACTTCATCTTCCCCTTCTTTCTTTGAAGTCGGTTTCTTGTTTTTCCTTCTTCAATGGCATACCAGAACTACATTAACTTCTCAACGAATCTTTACTATCTGCGCCCTAATGAAATCCCGCAATTGTTCTTGTTTATCCTCTTCTTGATGATAAGAACTACCACACTTGGTCAAGATCAATGCACATAACTCTTATCTCCAAGAACAAAGAGAAGTTTATTGATGGAACTCTCACCAAGCCTTCTGTCTCAGATCCGTTGTATGCTCCATGGATTCAATGTAATACTATGGTTCTAGCTTGGATTTTGCGTTCTGTTTTAGAGTCAATTGCAAAATCAGTTTTATGGAGAGATAGCACTGCAGGAGTATGGCAGAATTTGAAGATTCGTTTTTCATACAGTGATATATTTCGCATATCAGATATTCAAGAAGATCTCTACAAGTTTCGTCAGGGTACACTTGATGTTTCTAACTACTTTACACAATTGAAAGTCATGTTTGTGTTTGTGTTATTCCATGTTCTTGTGGTGCTCTTGCTTCAAATAAACGATATCGTGAGCAAGATTATGTTATTAGGTTTCTCAAGGGCTTGAATGAAAAGTTTGTCAATTTTAAGTCTCAAATAATGATGATGAATCCATTACCTGGTATTGATAAAGTTTTCTCCCTAGTTATCCAACAAGAAAGGGAAATGAGTAACTCTCTTTTTCCTGTTATGCCTAGTGACAACACTGGTGAAGAAACTACAACATTTCAGGTTAATAACACTTCCAATACTACCACTGCAAGAACCGAATATCATGGTTTCAAGGGCAAATCCCAAGGAAATGGTGGAGCAAAAGGGCAAAATTGCATATGCACACATTGTGGTCGGAACAACCACACAATAGAGACATGCTTTATCAAGCATGGATATCCACCAAGTTTTAAAGGCAAGAGCAAGCAATCAGCCTCTTCTCAATCTGCTACCTCAGTAAATGCTAGCCCTAATTCTTCTCAGTCCAATTCAGTTGTATCATCCTCGTTTTGTTTCACTCAAGAGTAGTATCATCACATCCTTGACTTGCTCCAAGAGTCCAAAACCACTCCCAAGGTGAATTCCATTTCCACTTCCCCATTTGTCCTAAACTCTCATTCTTCAAATGACATTGGTAATAATTCTCAGCTTAGGATTCTAGATACAGGTGCTACTGACCATATATCATTTGATCTCAATATTTTTCTTCTCATAAGAACATTATTTATGTGCATGTTAATTTGCATAAGGGTACCACACTTACTAACATCAAAGTCTGACAGCATAGTCGTTTCACCATTCTTGACATCATATAATGTTCTATACATACCAAATCTTTATGTCAATTTGCTTTCCATTGCTAAACTTGTATGTACCAATCATTGTAGTGTGCAATTCAATGTTAATTCTTGCCAAATTATGCAGAACCATTTCAAGGAAATGATTGGTATAACTAACTTGCAAAGAGGGCTATATGTGCTTGACTCCTCCAAACATCTTTCTGCCTGCCATTCTATTGTTAAAGATACTTGTAATCTTTGGCATCTCAGACTAGGACATATATCTGATATAGGCTTTTTCCTTTTATTCCTTATCAAAATAATGTTGCTTGTGATGCTTGTCACCTTGGTAAACAAAAGAAACTTCCTTTTTTACATAGTAGTACTCATTCTTCTGCAGCATTTGATATATTACATGCTGATTTGTGAGCCCATTTTCTACTATATCTACTATAGGTCACAAATATTTTTTAACACTTGTTGATGACTTCACTAGATATACCTGGGTAATATTTCTCCAAACCAAAGATCAGACTAACACAAAATTTATTCAATTTTTTCTTACATTGAAACACAATTTAACACTTCTTTAAAATGCCTTAGGTCAGACAAAGGTATTGAATTCATGGCCCACTCTGAATTTCTTTTGTCTAAGGGTATCATTCACCAAAGATCATGTGTTGAAACACCCCAACAAAATAGGGTGGTGGAGAGAAAACATCAACACATTTTAAATGTAGCTAGAACTCTATTTTTCCACTCCCAATTTCCTCTCAATATGTGGAACTTATGTGTTCAACATGCAATCCATATCATAAATAGACTCCCTACTCCCCTTCTTAAATCCAAATGTCCTTATGAACTTTTATATCTTCAACCACCTTCCCTTGTTCACTTGAAAGTGTTTGGATGTTTGAGTTTTGCTACTACTATTCAAGCACATAGGACAAAGTTTGATCCTAGAGCTAGAAAGTGTGTGTTTTTAGGCTTTAGAGATGTCACAAAGGGCTATATACTATATGACCTACAACACCACAATATATTTGTCTCAAGAAATGTTGTGTTTTATGAAAACCAATTTCCCTTTCACAATAAGTCCTCACCTTCCCAACTCACTTTTGACCCTATATTCTCACTTATCCTTGAATACACCTCTGAACATAACATTCAGCTTATACATGCTACTGCTAGCTATCTTAAATCACCTTTATCCTTTAACTTTGGCTCCCAAGGACAATCCCCTTCTACTTCCTATACCAGTCCTATGACTGATGGTACTAGTCCCTCTAGCCCTTCCCATATCAGTAGTCACAATCATGCTACTGATAGTACACTGAATACATGCCCCTTCCACCATCTGTATGACAAAACCTGCTTAGCCTTCCTAATGACAACTAGTCTAACATCTTCCCTTTATCCAATAGACTTGTTCAATCTACCACACCCTTATCCAATTATCAGAATAATCTTTCTGATGCTATCTCTCCTACCAATATCTCTTATCCTTTGGAAAATGTACCCTCCCATATGCCTTTAAGACATTTAACTCGAGTTTCAAATCCTCCATTATATTTTATAGATTATCATTGTTATACTACTTGTAATATTTCTTCTTTTCAGCATCAAAAATCACATGTTGCATATCCTCTTTCATCTGTTATATCTTATGATACATGTTATCCATCCTATAAACATTTATGTTGTTCTATTTGTTCAAATCCTGAGCCAAAGACTTACAACCAAGCAATCAAGTATGACTGTTGGAAACAAGCCATGGATGTGGAATTACATGCTCTTGAGAAAACCCAAACTTAGATTGTGGTTGATTTGCCAGCTGGGAAGTCTCCCATTGGATGTAGGTTGATTTACAAAGTTAAGTACAAGGCTGATGGTTCCATTGAAAGATACAAGGCAAGGCTAGTGGCAAAGGGATATACTCAAATGGAAGGCATTGATTAATTTGACACATTCTCTCCTGTGACCAAACTCACTACAATCAAAGTTTTACTCTCTATTGCAACTATTAAAGGCTGACATCTTGAGCAATTAGATGTCAACAATGCTTTTCTCCATGGTGACCTACATGAAGAAGTGTATATGTCCATTCCATCTGGCCTCCCTTGCTCAAGTCCTAATAAGGTTTGCAAACTTCAAAAATCCTTATATGAGCTTAAACAAGCCAGTAGACAGTGGTATTCCAAGTTTTTCTCCTTCTTAACATCTCTTGGCTTTCAACAATCTCAGGCTGATCACTCATTGTACACTAAAGTTGCTAAGCATAGTTTCACAACTTTACTTGTTTATGTTGATGATATAGTATTAGAAGGTGATTCTATTCAAGAGATTCAACTTGTCAAACAACTTTTGGACCATCAATTCAAGATCAAAGATTTGGGACAACTCAGATTTTTCTTAGGTTTTGAAATTGCAAGATCCACAACTGGTATTTTTCTTAATCAAAGAAAATATACTCTTGAACTCCTAAAATATATTGGTTTTCTTGCCTCAAAACCTTCATTTGTTCCCTTTGATCCAATCCTCAAACTTTCAGTAAATGAGGGTCAACCATTGGAAGATCCTTCCTCTTATCGAAGACTCATAGGTAAGTTGATATACTTGACTAACTCTAGGCCAGGAATTTCATTTGTTGTCCAACACTTGAGCCAGTATTTTGCCAAACCTCTCTTGCCTCATTATCATTCTGCTACACGGATCCTCAGGTATTTGAAAGTTGTGCCGGCCAAAGGCATTCTTTTCTCTGCATCAAGTTCTCTAAAACTATTTAGCTTTGCTGATTCTGATTGGGCTAGATGCCCTGATACAAGAAAATCAATAACTAGGTATTGTGTGATTCTTGGCTCATCACTTTTATGTTGGAAATCGAAGAAACAACATACAGTTTCTAGGTCCTCCACTGAAGCAGAATATAGGGCATTGGCTTCACTCACTTGTGAACTTCAATGGCTACAGTATTTGTTTAACGATTTCCTCATCTCTTTTTCTCAACCTGCTTCAGTCTATTGTGATAGCAAGTCTGCTATATATCTGGCTCACAATCCTATTTTTCA